CTAGGTTACAGGATCCTGTAGGTTCCAGGATGTCCTCTAGGTTACAGGATCCTGTAGGTTCCATGTTGTCCTCTAGGTTACAGGATCCTGTAGGTTCCAGGATGTCCTCTAGGTTACAGGATCCTGTAGGTTCCATGTTGTCCTCTAGGTTACAGGATCCTGTAGGTTCCAGGATGTCCTGTAAGTTACAGGATCCTGTAGGTTCTAGGATGTCCTCTAGGTTACAGGATCCTGTAGGTTCCAGGATGTCCTCTAGGTTACAGGATCCTGTAGGTTCCATGTTGTCCTCTAGGTTACAGGATCCTGTAGGTTCCAGGATGTCCTCTAGGTTACAGGATCCTGTAGGTTCCATGTTGTCCTCTAGGTTACAGGATCCTGTAGGTTCCAGGATGTCCTGTAAGTTACAGGATCCTGTAGGTTCTAGGATGTCCTCTAGGTTACAGGATCCTGTAGGTTCCAGGATGTCCTCTAGGTTACAGGATCCTGTAGGTTCCAGGATGTCCTCTAGGTTACAGGATCCTGTAGGTTCTAGGATGTCCTCTAGGTTACAGGATTCTGTAGGTTCCAGGATGTCCTGTAGATTCTAGGATGTCCTGTAGGTCCCATATACATTGTAGAGATAACTGCAGTCCTGGTCCACAGTTATGGGGGAAATGATGAGTATCAGTTGCTGTGGAAGTAACTGCCTCTCAACAGTGACACAACAAGTGTCTATTGGCTGTCAGCTTCTACCAGTTTCCCGTCTGTATGTATGTCTGTTGGCTTGGATGGCTACTGGCACATGATGATATTGTATAACTGCTGGAATGACTGCCAGCTACTTGTTTATTTTACATTCCACACAAATGTTGTTGTTTCTCTGCAATCACTCATTGACACAGCCATGCAAGTAGGCTGTCATTCATTTGCTCACAAAATAACCATGCAAGTCATTGATTGTTGACTGAGACCTATAACCATTTCGGTGGCTGTCAGATATACACAGAACCGTTTTGAAACTATATGAAAGATCAATCTTCCACATTCGTTGGCCGTTACCATTGTTGCTGTCACTGTGTTCAGCATTCATGGTATTGTGTTGTATTGAAGAGTTGGTTGTGGTGCATTTCTGCAATTAGGTTCTTGTCATATCCACCTCAATTTTATAATGAAATACTGCCCTCATCTCCATCTGTTGGAGGTCTGCTGGCAGGGTCACAGACGGAACCCTAGCATTGATGTGATATTGTATACTGTTGTTTGTTTTACCTGAGATGAGAGCTTTCAGTTTGATAACTCAGTGATAGGAGCACTCACAGCTACATTACAGAGGTCAAGATAGTCACAGCAAACTTTTTATCCAGGAGTGTATAGATTATACACACGTCACACACACACACCATTCGGGATACGGCTGGCAGAGGAACAAGACTGGCCCATAGCAGGCAGATAGCACACACACATACACACACACACCAGTCAGGATACGGCTGGTAGAAGAACAAGACTGGCCCATGGCAGGCAGATACCACACACACATACACACACCAGTCAGGATATCACTGGCAGAGGAACAAGACCGGCCCGTGGCAGACAGATACCACACACACCAGTCAGGATACCGCTGGTAGAGGAACAAGACTGGCCCATGGCAGGCATCTAGCACACACACACACACACCAGTCAGGATACCGCTGGTAGAGGAACAAGACTGGCCCATGGCAGGCAGCTAGCACACACACACCAGTCAGGATACCGCTGGTAGAGGAACAAGACTGGCCCATGGCAGGCATCTAGCACACACACCAGTCAGGATACCGCTGGTAGAGGAACAAGACTGGCCCATGGCAGGCAGCTAGCACACACACACCAGTCAGGATACCGCTGGTAGAGGAACAAGACTGGCCCATGGCAGGCAGATAGCACACACACACCAGTCAGGATACCACTGGTAGAGGAACAAGACTGGCCCATGGCAGGCAGATAGCACACACACACACACACCAGTCAGGATACCGCTGGTAGAGGAACAAGACTGGCCCATGGCAGGAAGATAGCACACACACACACAGCCCATGGCAGGAAGATAGCACACACACACACAGCCCATGGCAGGAAGATAGCACACACACACACAGCCCATGGCAGGAAGATAGCTCACACACACACAGCCCATGGCAGGAAGATAGCTCACACACACACAGCCCATGGCAGGAAGATAGCACACACACACACAGCCCATGGCAGGAAGATAGCTCACACACACACAGCCCATGGCAGGAAGATAGCTCACACACACACAGCCCATGGCAGGAAGATAGCACACACACTCCAGTCAGGATACCGCTTGTAAAGGAACAAGACTGACCCATGGCAGGTAGATAGCACACACACACAGCCCATGGCAGGCAAGTAGCACACAGTCTGGGTAGGGATGAGCTGGGTGTGTTGACTAGGGTCATGGACACATCTGATGATGTGTGCTGCCACTGGACTGGTTCTTGACAACCTTCAAAGACAGTATAGTTTTCTGTTCAATCGTGAAGGGTTGTACTATACTGGTAATTTATAGTACTGTAGTTTTTAGTCAGTTCATGTAGGACAGTACTGTCTAATAATCTGTAGTACTATAGTTTGCTGTCATGTAGGACAGTACTGTCTATTAATCTGTATTACTATAGTTTGCTGTCAGCTTATGTAGGACAGTACTGTCTATTAATCTGTATTACTATAGTGTGCTGTTAGTTCATGTAGGACAGTACTGTAGTTTGCTTTCTGCCCAAGTAGGACAGCAGTGTTTTTTAACTCTTTGAATCCCAAGGAATGCATCATACATTCATAAATTCCTACCTAGAAGCCCAATGAACAGGCCCTTGGGCCTATGATGCTAAACCTCCTGGGATTCAAAGAGTTAAGGTATAGTAGTGTATTGTTTTTTGTAAGTTCATGTAGGGCAGACTTAATTTAGTTTTTCTGTCAGCTTGTGTACAACAGCATTGTCTGTTGTATATAGTAGCTAATGTAATTTTCAGCTCATGTAGGCATGAATGTGGTGTTCTGTCATCTCATGTCTGGCATCAGACTAACTGTAGACAGCTGTGACAGGACAGACAGCTGTGCCAGCACTGACAGGACAGACAGCTGTGCCAGCACTGACAGGACAGACAGCTGTGCCAGCACTGACAGGACAGACAGCACTGACAGGACAGACAGATGTGCTGGCACTGACAGGACAGACAGCTGTGCCAGCACTGACAGGACAGACAGCTGTGACAGGACAGACAGATGTGCTGGCACTGACAGGACAGACAGCTCTGACAGGACAGACAGATGTGCTGGCACTGACAGGACAGACAGATGTGCCAGCACTGACAGAACAGACAGCTGTGCCAGCACTGACAGGACAGACAGATGTGCCAGCACTGACAGGACAGACAGCTGTGCCAGCACTGACAGGACAGACAGCTGTGACAGCACTGACAGGACAGATAGCACTGACAGGACAGACAGATGTGCTGGCACTGACAGGACAGACAGCCGTGCCAGCACTGACAGGACAGACAGCTGTGACAGGACAGACAGCTCTGACAGGACAGACAGATGTGCTGGCACTGACAGGACAGACAGATGTGCCAGCACTGACAGGACAGACAGCTGTGACAGCACTGACAGGACAGACAGATGTGCCAGCACTGACAGGACAGACAGCTGTGTCAGCACTGACAGGACAGACAGATGTGCCAGCACTGACAGGACAGACAGCTGTGCCAGCACTGACAGGACAGACAGCTGTGCCAGCACTGACAGGACAGACAGCTGTGCCAGCACTGACAGGACAGACAGCTGTGCCAGCACTGACAGGACAGACAGCTGTGCCAGCACTGACAGGACAGACAGCTGTGCCAGCACTGACAGGACAGACAGCTGTGCCAGCACTGACAGGACAGACAGCTGTGCCAGCACTGACAGGACAGACAGCTGTGCCAGCACTGACAGGACAGACAGCTGTGCCAGCACTGACAGGACAGACAGATGTGCCAGCACTGACAGGACAGACAGCTATCTCAACACTGATATTGTCAAAACAGACATATATAGTTATCTTCTCCCACCGACCAGGAATTAGGGTTTCTCACCCATCTGCCTGATCACTGGTGCTCTTTTATGATTAATTTGTTATTTCAGTTTAGCTATGACCACAACACATACACGGGATTGTGAACAAGATAATTCAGGTCAGATATGTTGTTATTTTATTACACTCAAATTCAGGTTGGATATGTCGTTATTTTATTATAATCATCAATAAAATAAGAGCTTTTGAAGAGAGCCTTTTGTGTCGGCTGGTTTGTGACCTGGACACCAGACTTTATTCATAGGAAGACTATACATGTATCTTTACAACAGAATTCACAGACTAGTAGATGGTGTATTTCCAGTGTATCATTTGTCAGCCCAACAGCAAATCACTGCTGCCATGAAACTCCCTACAGCACACTGACCAGTCTCACATGAAACTCCCTACATGAACAGTCTCACATGAAACTCCCTTCAGCACACTGACCAGTCTCACATGAAACTCCCTACATGAACAGTCTCACATGAAACTCCCTTCAGCACACTGACCAGTCTCACATGAAACTCCTTACAACACACTGACCAGTCTAACATGAAACTCCCTACATCACACTTACCAGTCTCTCACGTGAAACTCCCATCAGCACACTGACCAGTCTCTCACATGAAACTTTCTTCAGCACACTGACCAGTCTCTTACATGTAACTTTCTTCAGCACACTGACCAGTCTCTCACGTGAAACTCCCTACAGCACACTGACCAGTCTCTCACATGAAACTCCATACAGCACACTGACCAGTCTCTCACATAAAACTCCCTACAGCACACTGACCAGTCTCTCACTTAATACTCCCTTCAGCACTCTGACCAGTCTCTTACACAAAACTCCTTACAGCACACTGACCAGATGAAACAGAACTATTTCCCAGTGAAGCCCTGACAATCACAGCTTGGGCTGGACTGCAGATCTGTTGTACTCATATGGCAGTATGTGGCCATCTATACACTGAATGTTACAGTACAGCCACATTCTTCGGTCCTTGCCCATCACAGCTCGGTTATGGTTGGGGTAGAGTTTCTGCAGCTCATCAACTGTTTCTGGTCTGTAGATTGGTGTCTGGGTAATCTCTCCAGTCAGGTCTGCGTTGTCTGGGTACAGGTCATCACCTTCATAGAAGATGCAATATGTCAAACAGACTGCTTGCTTTGATCAATTACTAAATGAGACTGTTTTGAATAATCAGCAAAATAAAGTCTTCGACTGACTGACTGCTAATATTATTATAGAAACAAACAAAAGGCTGAGAAAACAACTGACCCACAAGATGTCAACGTGCTATGACTAACCCACAAGATATCACCATGCTATGACTGACCCACAAGATGTCACCATGCTATGACTGACCCACAAAATGTCACTATGCTATGACTGACCCACAAGATGTCACTATGCTATGACTGACCCACAAGATGTCACTATGCTATGACTGACCCACAAGATGTCACTATGCTATGACTGACCCACAAGATGTCAGCATGCTGGGACTGACCCACAAGATGTCAGCATGCTGGGACTGACCCTCAAGATGTCACCGTGCTAGGACTGACCCTCAAGATGTCACCGAGCTGACTGACCCACAAGATGTCACCATGCTATGACTGACCCACAAGATGTCATTATGCTATGACTGACCCACAAGATGTCACCATGCTATGACTGACCCACAAGATGTCACCACGCTGTGACTGATACAAACAAAAGGCTGATGAAACAATTGACCCACAAGATGTCACCACGCTGTGACTGATACAAACAAAAGGCTGATGAAACAATTGACCCACAAGATGTCACCATGCTATGACTGACCCACAAGATGTCACCATGCTATGACTGACCCACAAGATGTCACCACGCTATGACTGACCCACAAGATGTCACCCTGCTATGACGCTCTGACTGACCCACAAGATGTCACCACGCTGTGACTGATACAAACAAAAGGCTGGTGAAACAATTGACCCACAAGATGTCACCACGCTGTGACTGATACAAACAAAAGGCTGATGAAACAATTGACCCACAAGATGTCACCACGCTATGACTGACCCACAAGATGTCACCATGCTGTGACTGATACAAACAAAAGGCTAATGAAACAATTGACCCACAAGATGTCACCACGCTATGACTGACCCACAAGATGTCACCATGCTATGACTGATCCACAAGACGTCACCACGCTATGACTGACCCACAAGATGTCACTATGCTATGACTGACCCACAAGATGTCACTATGCTATGACTGACCCACAAGATATCACCATGCTATGACTGACCCACAAGATGTCACCATGCTATGACTGACCCACAAGATGTCACCATGCTATGACTGACCCACAAGATGTCACCGCGCTATGACTGACCCACAAGAAGTCACCGTGCTATGACTGACCCACAAGATGTCACCATGCTATGACTGACCCACAAGATGTCACCGCGCTATGACTGACCCACAAGATGTCACCGTGCTATGGCTGACCCACAAGATGTCACCATGCTAGGACTGACCCTCAAGATGTCACCACGCTGTGACTGATACAAACAAAAGGCTGATGAAACAATTGACCCACAAGATGTCACCGTGCTATGACTGACCCACAAGATGTCACCATGCTATGACTGACCCACAAGATGTCACCATGCTATGACTGACCCACAAGATGTCACCATGCTATGACTGACCCACAAGATGTCACCGTGCTATGACTGACCCACAAGATATCACCATGCTATGACTGACCCACAAGATGTCACCATGCTATAACTGACCCACAAGATGTCACCATGCTATGACTGACCCACAAGAGGTCACTATGCTATGACTGACCCACAAGATGTCACCATGCTATGACTGACCCATAAGATGTCACCATGCTATGACTGACCCACAAGATGTCACCGTGCTATGACTGACCCACAAGATGTCACCGTGCTATGACTGACCCACAAGATGTCACCATGCTATAACTGACCTACAAGATGTCACCGTGCTATGACTGACCCACAAGATGTCACTATGCTATGACTGACCCACAAGATGTCACTATGCTATGACTGACACACAAGATGTCACCGTGCTATGACTGACCCACAAGATGTCACTATGCTATGACTGACACACAAGATGTCACCATGCTATGACTGACCCACAAGATGTCACCACGCTATGACTGACCCACAAGATGTCACTATGCTATGACTGACCCACAAGATATCACAAACAAAAAGTTAATGAAACTAATGACCTACAAAATATAACCATATTATGACAGACACAAACAAACCCAAAAGTCAATAAACAACTGACTGGCCAAATGTCAGTGCCATAATAGTTATTTAAGTCAAGAACTGACATCACAGCACTCAGGGCATTCCCATGTGTGCTCCGTCCTCATCTTCAGCAACCAGCTCAGAGTTCCAATACTGATGGTACCGGTCACAATCTGGTTATAGGTCCGTCTCGCCTTTCCTTTGAGTGTAGTGAGCCGGCCAAACCCTCTGGTTACACCCAGGTGCGTCATTCTCTCCGGGCCATAATAATCGTGTTTCTCTACTGAATCCGTTACTTGTTCTCAAAGGGCGTTGACAACATCTGTCCTGTCATGCATCAGTTCACCACCCAGTGGTGCAGATCCAGCCAATCTGTCTGCCTGTTCATTACCCATCACACCGGCATGACCAGAAGAAAAGATCCAAAGAATGCCATAACACAAACCTGGTAAAACAAAGAGCGTGGCATCCGCACAGCTGTAAATGACAGGCATCCATCGCTGGGCCCGGTGTGACGAGCGCTTCCATGCAAAGATCACAAGTTCATCCACAGTCTGGAACCTCACCAGGCGGGACAGCTCATATACTTGTGGAGGAGCCAGCACTAGAGAGCCCCGGGAAGCCTCCTGAAGAATATCTTCTGGCTGCATCCACTGTGGAACAGAGAGTGGTCAGTTTGACAACACAGTCATGAAAGTTTGGATGTTTCTTTCTGAAAATTGCAGGATACAGCAACATAAAGGAAGTGGCTGGTTCAGATAGGTAGCATGTATGCACCAGGATATTTGCCAGGAATTAATGAATCAAGAATTCTTCTTCTTCGCGTTCACCAGCTGTAAACTCTTGCGGAAAGTTCTGGTTGTTCATCCACTTCTGGAATGCAGTTCTGTTCCAGAAACTGAGTGTTGCATGTGCATTCATTTGACAGATCTGACTCATTTGTATGCTGTGGTTCCTTGCCTCTCAGGCAGATGCACTCTGACTTTAAAGGAAGCTCCCAATTAGTCGACTCTTATGACATGCTTTTGGGTAGGCAGGGGGTCTATTCTTGTTTTCCCTATAATAGGGCACCGGAACCCACACAGGGAAATCAAAAATTGACATCACTGAACTTGAAACATTCCCTCTCAAGTCCGCCTACGTGTTTCCCCCTCAGTGCTGCATATCTTCCAGAACCGCTACTCAAGCCCCGTTGAATTAGTCTTTAAACGTTTGGAGTTTCCATCTGTTCTATTGAACTGTCTATTTGATCCCAGAGAGCCTTCACAACTTCCGCTTTATCATGATGTAGTTCACCACACAGAGGAGCGGCAGCAGTGAATCTATCAGGCTGCTCATTACCTCAATGTCCAGGGCAGAAAACTTTTTGCTGGGAGAGACAGATACTCAAGAGTGTATCTGAGTGTCACGATATGGCCTCAGTTTAACTAGAAACCAAGTATCACAAAATTGTTAGTGAAGTCTGCTTCCCCAGCTCCTCTCACAAACTTGGGAACTGACTCATGCCTGTCATCTCAGGCACTTCCCTTACCAGGACCGCCTCTTTCCTTCTGAATATTTGTATCGTCTTCGTGTCCACTCAGTACATTGGGAGGTGACATCTTTATCCCCATGCTGCCAATTATTTCTCAAATCTAATGTGTCGAACATCTTCTCTCTTTAAGTTCTTTCTTGTGTCTCCTCCATTCTGACTAGTCAGTTGTCTCATCTGTTTCAGTATTTCCTCCAATTTGATATTTTTATTAGGAAGCACAAATTGTCCACTCCTAGTGCACATTTGAAAACTCATCATCATCATGTAGCAGGTCCTTTGCAGAATGTCGTTCTCATCACAGTCTGCCTGAAAGAAACTCCCTCGCCAGTTCTCCTGCCTTATGTACTTTCCTACTCATGCAACCACTTATATCCTGTGCCCATCTTCGTGCCGGTCGGTCCCTGCCCCTCCTTCCTGGTACCATGCCTTCTGCTATAATTTTTTCCAATCTGACGTGGCGCTTAATATGACCAAAATATTTCAGCTTCTGAGACAGGATGCTGTTTATTAGCCAATCTTCCTTGATGTTCAGATCTTTCAGGATGTCAGTATTTCTCCTCTTCTTTGTCCAAGATATTCTGAGAATCTTTCTATAGCATTTCAGCTCAAAAGCCACTTGAAAACTACTACTGTGAAATCACACATGGTACAACCAAACTAACAGTGCTACAGATGGTACAACCAAACTTACAGTGCTACAGATGGTACAACCAAACTAACAGTGCTACAGATGGTACAACCAAACTGACAGTGCTACAGATGGTACAACCAAACTGACAGTGCTACAGATGGTACAACCAAACTGACAGTGCTACAAATGGTACAACCAAACTGACAGTGCTACAGATGGTACAACCAAACTGACAGTGCTACAGATGGTACAACCAGAGCTACAAGTTTCTTAAAGCTAAAAGTTTTTTATGTTACAAAATTGCATACCACCCCATGAGATGATTCCTCGGACAGGGAAACATTTGGGCCTTCATCTATGCAGCTTACAAAGAAGGCTGTGTCAAATCTCTTGCCTTTGAGAGGTGGGGTCAGCCAGTTTGACCACTCATACAATGACCAGACATCTGGAACCATACCTAACTCCCTGCACATGACCAGAAACTGTGAGGGGTCAGACATGATACTCTTTCTCCATTTACTAGCGGTTGCTTCTGGCACATTACACACAGTAGCAAACAATGGACGAGTGTTGGAGAAGTGATCTTTGTCTGCAAGATCAGATGCTGGCCTGGCTAAGAGGATCCCTGATTCTTCGAAGGTTTCTCTGATGGCGGTGATACGGAGAGCCACCTCACTGGGGATGTGTGAGAATTCTGCGTCTCGAGGTCTGCTGAAGATTGGAGAACCCTCCTGTGAGGTAGAGAATACATCCAGCGAACCACAGCTGTCTCCGAGCACCTCCAACCAGTCCTTGGAAAAGTCTGTGTTGTCCAGCATCCCTCCTGGGAAGACGTACACATCGGGCATGAATGAGCTACCGCCACTTCTCTTGAGCAGCAGCAGACGAAAGACCTCATCATCTGCAACAGCAGCTGCTGGAGTCAGAAATTTGTTCATCAAATTCTGTCGGGTGGGTCTGGCCAGTCGTTTAGAGGAGATAATTAAACTTGCTGACTCCCTCCAGTGTTTCAGTGTAGCAGCCATGATCTTGGTAACTCTCATCATGCAGCCCTTACACGACCTGATCTCGGCTGCTCAACCTCAGGGAGACACTGATTATAGAGATAAACGCAGGCAATTTGAAAATACAACACTTCACACAGAAGGTGACCACACAATGTAACAGCGGATGCCTGACTCAAGTCTAGGTCTCGGATAGCTTCAGCTCAGACAGCGTTGATGATGGTAGGTCCAGTATAAAATTGTAGGTTGGGCGATTTCTTTCTTCAAGGCTGTCTGTTGGTTGGCGATTAATCAGGTTCATATGTTCAAATGAAATCGTTCACGTCTACAGAAACGTCTCACTGGAGTCAATACCGACTCAACCGGAGCTGGAACTTAGGTACGAGCTCATCCAGGGATAACAGTTTCTGCACGTCAGTATTAGTAGTATTACTGATTATTACTGTACCTTAACTACAGACCCAACGTTCATCAGATGACCAGTGAATTCCAGTCCTGCGATGGGCGGGCAAACAGCCAGAAACTCAATGCCGGAGACCTGTGCATGAACTGGGATGACTTATCACTGCTGGGTCTAAGGATTCAATACAAATTCGATCAGATCTGTCCAAGGTGTAAGTCATTCTGTCCACGACATTGCAGCCTTTCTCTTGCGATGGGCCGCCATTCTTGAGGTCAAAGGTCAAGCACGACGGTCATCTTCTACATTGTCGCCCTGCAATAATTTTAACAATGTAATGGCTTGTTTTCATTGATACATTTCCAACTGATACTGTTTGAATATATCGAGTCCTCGCCTGATTTCACGGACCTGCAATTGTTACCTGGACATACAGAAGAACGTAAAAGGGGTTCACCCAGCCTTTAGGTTATAGGTATCAGAGTTAACACTCTGGGGTAAGTGGTTGAACGTCGCTGTAGCTACAGAGTTGCATGCGGACGGCGAACGTTTCTTATCCGTACTGTTGGCAAATCACTTATGGTTTATAACCGTGTGCAATTACTCTGGTTCACATCTCCCGACTTTACCTTTACGTTTTTTTAATCGAATGCAATCAACAACAGCACGAATATACAAAAGAATAGGTCGATTTCATCAACAACAAAACAGGGGTATATAGAATAATAAATCGTACTTCATCAACAAAAACATGGACAGACAAAATAATATGCTATATGTCATGAATAAAAACAAGGATATACAGAAAAAAAAACTGGTCACACTTCATCGGACCGACAATGAAGCACAACGCTTTTGGAATCACTGAGAGTGTAGTGTAACAGGCTGGCGACAGAAGGTAGATTTTTGGCCTGTTTATTTTAGTTTAACAACCTATAGCTGCTGGCACTGGCCAGGTGGGTCAGTGGAACTCTTCCGTATTGTCCAGCAGGTGACGTGAGTCGTGGAAGGTGATAAAAGGCCTGATTCTGTTAACAGTTTCCCTTTTCAGCGATAGCGGTAACAGACGCTAGAAGCCCTTCCGATTTGTCGCCCAAACCGTACACGGTTAAAGCGCAGATTTGGTTCAGACTGCATAACGGTACTACCTGGTTGTTGGTCTGCTAGTAGTTGTCAGTATTTTGTTATTCATTGATTTACTAGTTGCTTGGTTAGTTCTACCGGTCTGCTCATATATTTCAGTTAGTAGTTCTTTAGTATATTTAGTTTTTGGAGTGTTGTCAAGGATTATTGTTATGTCATCAACAAATAAAGTTTCTGTATTCGTCAACTTACCTCCGTGTTATTTTAGTTAGTATGTCTAGGTTTTACTGTTAGACTATATTAGACCCCACACAGAAGATTTGCTGCCAGGGTGAGATACTTTGATTTTACCCCCGCCTAAACGAACTTTCTTTTTCTTTTCTTTTCTTTTCTTTTCTTGCTACTGAGGCAGCTTACGGTTGGGTTCAGCTCGCCACGCGACATTGTTGAGAGCTCTTGTGGGTTCGGAGTCGAGATTTTAAGGAGTAGATTTCCATATTATCCTTAGTTACCTCTTCTCTTTTCCCTTCATCACAAGTTATCCCCTCCTCTGCATTTGCTTCTAGTACAAGTGGCGTCGTCGACAAGGATTAGGTGGCCAGTATTTGTTTTGTGCGTTGTCTAGATAGTCCAGTTTGGCATAGTGTTAGGTTAGGTTGCTTTTGGAATAGTCTGTGCTAGGGTTTGTCTTGTGGTATTGCTAGCGGAGACCAGGTAGATACCCAACATCCGTGCAGTGCTGTACCTGGAGAATTCCCTATGACGTGTGAGGGAAAAGCTGCATCATGAGTCAGCGTTCAACACGGTCGGGTGCCAGAGAGGGGCAGGAAGAACCCCCATCTCTTACATTGGGAACCAATGATTCCCACCCAGCGTACGCTCCCAGTCATGAGCTCGCTGAGACAGTAAGGTATGTTGTGTTACCTACTCGCCGCAACATCAGGACATTTGGCAGTCCAGGTGGCCCATCGATTGAAGATTATTTAAGGGAGGTGAAGGCTGTCTGGAGAGCTTGCGCAGTGGGGACAGCAGACAAGCTTGATGTCGTTTTAGACAGCATCACCCCTACTGTGCGACGGGAGGTAAAACTCCATTGTTCAGATGATGACCCAGAGACCATGCTGGAGGCAATGTTGAAAATTTATGGGGAACACAAATCCCTCCAAGAACAGATGGCAGTTTTCTATACAACAAAGCAGGGAAGCAAGGAGTCTGTGATGGAATTTTCACACAGGCTCCATGCCGCATTTGAAGCCATAACAGATGCACAGTCAAGTGGCGGTGTGACTGTCATGACCCAGCAGGTCCTGAGGGATCAGTTCATTGCTGAGCTGCGCAATGAGCTGACCAAGCGCATGTTAAAAGAGCGAGTACTCCAAGAACCTTCGCTGACATTTTTGGCCGCTAGGGACTATGCCCTTAGGTGGGCGAATATAAATAATGAACTTCACCTGCAGTCCCGAGGTAGAGACATTAATTGTGCCGTGGTTAGTCAGACAGAGCCCAGTGTATCAGGCCCATCAACTAGAGCGCTGGAAGACAAGATTGACTCGTTGTCTAAAGAACTGTCGCTGTTGCGGGCACATGTCGCTGGCCCGAGGTACGACACAAGACCCAGGCAGAGAGTTATCCGTTGTGCCAGATGTGGTGGTCTAGGCCATTTGCAAAGCCGGTGCAGACAGGCACTAAACTAGACCCCGCTATGACTAGGAGTCAGGTTGCAGCCGGGGAGCGTGTTGGCTCACAGGTGAAATTAATAGGCGGTAGACCAGAGTGTAATGTGACTATACGCAACAGATCTGTTAGGTGTATTTTAGACACAGGTTCACAAGTGTCGACCATCTCTGAAACATGCTTTAACGAACTGTTTAGCGGAGTCCAGTTAGAAGTAGAGAACTTTGTCAAGTTAACTGCAGCTAATGGTACTAACATTCCATATTTAGGCTACCTGATCTGTAATGTAAAAATAGGTTCCACTTATATTAAAAATTGTGGTGTATATGTGGTTAAAGATTGTAGAAATAAAATGGTTCCTGGAATTATCGGCACTAATATTTTAGCAGCTGTGCCTGATCTGTGTAGATATTTAAAGTTAAAAGATTGTAAACCGGTTGATCCACAACAAGAAGTCAGCCAGGTTAAAGTGTGGGTTGTGGGAGGCAGCAAGATCCATGTGCCTGCCCATTCAATGGTAGTACTTCAAGTGAAAGGTAGAGTAGGGATGACTGTAGATAGAAATGTTCTTTTCGAACCGGCCAGGGACTTGGAGCACAAGGGTTTGATTTTGTCCCACACTGTTACTGTACTGCGACATGGTGTATGCCTAGTCCAGGCCATCAACATGGGGGACGAAGACTTGTTCTTGGCAAAAGGCACCCAGGTCGGTGCAATTTCAGATGCTACAGTAGACTTAAGCAAGCATTTCAAAGTAGTTGGTGCCCAAGAAGTCCAAATTTTGTCATCACCAGTTAGGGGGCATGATGAACCAACCAAATGTCCCATTGACCTGAGTAATTTTGAGGGTAGCGATAGTGAGAGACAGCAGCTAGAGGCATTGATATTAAAGTATGACAGTCTATTTGCCAAAGATGACTGCGACATTGGGTACACTGACAGGGTCACCCATAATATTTCTTTATCAGGTGATACCCCTGTTAAACAACCGTATCGTCGGATTCCACCAGCGTTTTACAGAGAAGTACAGGATCATTTACAAGGGTTGTTAGAGAAACAAATCATTAGAGAAAGTTCCAGCCCTTGGGCATCCCCTATTGTGTTAGTAAGAAAGAAAGATGGCACCCTTAGATTGTGTGTTGACTATAGGTCCTTAAATAGTAAAACAAAAAAGGATGCTTATCCACTTCCCCGGGTTGATGAATATCTTGATGCCTTGGGGGGAGCAAAACTGTTTAGCTCTTTAGATTTAGCAAGTGGGTATTATCAAGTAGCCATGGCACCAGAGGATAGAGAGAAAACAGCTTTTACCACACCATTCGGTTTGTTTGAGTATAATCGAATGCCGATGGGTCTTGCAAACTCAGCGAGTACCTTCCAACGGCTTATGCAGTGTACGATGCATGACCTTTTTTTCAATGTTCTACTTGTATATCTTGATGATATTTTAATATTTTCAGGTGATTTTAATGATCATATTATAAGGTTAGAGAGGGTGTTTAACAGATTGTCCTCACTGGGTCTTAAGTTGAATCCAAATAAATGTAATTTTTGTAAACCTAAGATAGAATTTTTAGGACATACCATTTCGGCTGAGGGGATTGGAGCTGTAGAAGAGAAAATAGCAGCAATCCAACAAGCGCCCATTCCGAGAACCCAGACTGAATTAAGAGCTTTCCTAGGCCTTGCGAGCTACTACAGGAGGTTTGTTCCAAAATTTTCCACGGTTGCACGCCCATTACATGAACTGGTTGCCCAGTTAAATTTACAGGTTGACAAGCATAAGAAGAAGAAGAACCCTATTGGCGAGTTGTGGTCTCCTGAATGTGATGATGCATTTAACCAGCTAAAAGGGGCACTAACATCTACGCCGCTGCTGGGCTTT